CCCCAAAACCCCAAAACCCCAAAACCCCTTATTTTATAACTTTAATTGAGATTATTTGTGCGAAGATGAACAGCTTTAAAATAAGTGAAGATATGAACTTTCAAAAGAACCTTCAAAAACAAGCAAATTTACTCACAGAAATTGAGAAGAGATTGAAATAATGTTGAAGTCCAGCATGCAGAGCTAGTATATTCTGCTGATATGCAATATCTAGTATCTCTTAACACTGGCCCGTCTGCTTCAGCTTTAACTCCGACCTCTGAGGCAACCTTGATGATTAATAAGGACATTGTGACACCTCCCATGGTTAAGATGGGAATGGAGACTATTTCTAAGGAATTTGAGTCCAAAATTGACGACCAAATTCAGAAGCTTAACTTATCCTTAGAAGAGAAATTCGTAAAATGCAAAAGTATTACTTCAATGGAGTTTAATTATGACGCTCAGATTTCGAGTGTTTTGAAACAAATCAACGAACTCAAATTTAGAACAAGAGACCAGATAGATGAAGTTAAAAGAAATTTCCACACTGAGTTACTTACAAAGGCCAGTGTCCTTTCGATCAAGGAGGTGGTAGATAAGTCAGTCGATAAGTCTGAATTAGTTGATATTCATGATAAAATAAAACTTATCAATGACAAAATCCTCCAGTTGGAAGATCATCTCAAATCAGAGCCTGATTCAGAAGAAAAAGACTCAGATACCTCTGAGGAAGAATATAATGAAGAATTTGAGCAAGACCAGGTTGAGATTGAGGAATCGAAGCAAGGTGAAGCTGCTACTCCCTTAGTTGAAGAGAAATTTTTGCCAAAACTTGACACAAATCCTTCACCAAATGTAGTCAAGAATACTTCTCTAAAGGTGAGTCCTGCTTCCCACTCAAAATAAGGACGTCAAGACTAGTGCTAAAAAGCCGAAGGTAAGAATGTTGAATGCTGATCTTGAGAATACTAAACTGAGAAGGAGTATTGAGGAACAGATGGAATTGCCAAATTATGAATCTGAGAAGAAGCTTGAAACTATTCCTCAAAGTGATATTGATCATGAAAATTTCAACCAATTAGCCTCAGCAAAAAGAAGTCCAAAAGAGGAGAGTCCACAGATAATCCAAAGACCAGGATTTCAGTCTAAAGGAAGCATGAAGTTCAGGAACACTAATAATGAGAATTTAGTACAGAATTTTAACAAATCCTGTGAACAAACAGCCCAAAAGAAGCATAAGAAGCCTGAATATTTTGAAAAAGAGAATCCAAAATTTGCTATTTCTGAGTCCTCAGTTTATAATGGGGAGACTGCCAACTCCAAAGAAATATCTGTCATAAAGCAGTCCAAGGAGTCATTTAATTTCGGAATGCCAAAGATGAAAATTAATAGGAGAATGGTATCTAAGCTTTCAATAGAAACTCCTTTCACAACTCATGAGTCATCCACAGCCACTCTTATCAACAAACTTATGATGAAATCGCAGAAAAGTAAGGGCAAGAAGATCCGCAGGAGCGAAATAGAAAGTATTTTCAACCTTATCCAGGATGTTCTAGTCAACACTAGTAACAATAGGATGCGGATCGACACACTTGAAGGAAACATTGACTTAAAAATAGAAAATTCTATTAAGAAGCTAAGGAAGGAAACAATGAGTGCTATGGCAGACATTGAAAGACAGACAAAGGAAGATCATCAGAAGCTTAACCTCCGACTAGATGAGTTCCAAAGACTTAACTTTCGGTTGAATAAGACTATCCTTGAGAAGCCTTACAAGTATGCAGATGAGATGAAGGAATCAATGATAAAATCCCAAAAAGAGCAAGAAAAAGCTTTCAATAGAAAATATGATATGCTTCTTTCTCGTATAACTGCTATGAAACGGTGGCAACAAGAAATGGCCAATTCTGGGTATCAAAATTCCTCACCAGTATTTAACGAAGAAGTCCTAAAGGAAGAAATCAAGAAGGAATTTGAGAACTCTAAACTTGCTATTCTTCAGGAAGATCATGAGATTCTTAAGAGTGATCTAGAGACCCAGTTTTCCTCAGTTACAACAAAACTTGCGAACATCGAAAACATTATTGATGAGTTCAAGGAAAATATTGAATTACAAGTGTATGAGTTCAAGAGTCATACAAAATACGAGGTTAATAATAAGCTTAAAGAGTTAGAGGCATTGAACAGGGAACTCCAGCGACACCAGGATTTATACAGACAGATCCTTGGAAGCCACTATTTAGACACACAAAAAGCTGAGCATATGTCAGTTGTCATTCCTAGGGTTGAGATGACCAAGAGTTCAAGTAAAGGATCTTTTCATCAGAAGTTCAGGTCAAATTCACTTTCTAGTGGAAAGAAGGGTAAAATTCGAGAGTCAAAAAGGTATAATTCAAATATTGAAGAAAAATCTCCTGATGGAGAGGAAATTGGAACTACATTCAGAGTTGAGCTCAAGAAGCTCAACAAGAGTGTATTGCCTAATATACAAAAGAGCAGAAAATCAATCCCTTTATTGTCAAAATCTTCATCCCGCTTGAATCTATCAGGGATAAGCCCCAAGCTTGACAAAGAGATTGAGGATACTTTGAAGAAAATCAAAGATCCTGATTCTAAGAGGTATAAAGTCCTTAAGAAATTTCTAAGTAAGTGCCTTTATTCAGACATTTAGAAAATGAGATAGAGCCAGTGCATAGTAGAGGACAAAGTGTAACTCCAATGAAGATGTATCTCAACAGTAAGGTTCATGTTAACCTGAGTAATTTGGCATAATTTCACAATATTCTCCCAAAGAAACGGGGTTTTGGGGTTTTGGGGTTTTGGGGTTTTGGGG